GGTTTAGGGGTTTAGGGTTTGCGGTCGGTAGGGTTTGGGCTGCGGCCGAACACGAAACTTCGGTTGACCTCGGAACAAAGCCAAAACAAGGTAGGACCCTCAAAGCAAACTGATAGCAGACCTTACACCCTATCCAAATCCGAAACCCGAACCTCCTGAATTCGAAAGTCTAAGCCCGACATTCCATACTCTCATGTTTGGCTCTTTAGTTTTCTAAACCTAGACCCTACGGCCTAAAGCCTAAAGCCTAAACCCGANNAACCTTAAACCCTACACTGCCCTACATGCAGGCTCCTGGCCGCACGTGGCCCTTTTCGTCAAAGTCTCCGGCGCGCGGGGGGAGGAGAACCAGGCCGTCCTGCAATCAATTCAGGAACCGCCTGAGTCGCGTCTTAAGGCTTAAAGCGTTTCACTCGCAATCTGGCCTAAATGCGAATCCGACTTCGTGGGAGGTTTAGAACTACAGGTTCTTTGATCAGGTTCATGCATTGGTGCTTTGTGCATCAGCGTTTAGAACCCAGACGACTCCATCACCCCTTCCAACACGCAAGATGCCTGAACTTACCTGTCAATAAGCCAGACACCTGGCCGAAACAAATGAAAATCGGTAGCTGACACGCACACACACACACACGCACTTACGCACTCTGAGTATATCTCGCTATCTCTCGCTCTCTCTGCCTCGCTCCCCCTCTGTCCCGCACAACAAAACAGCAAAAGCAGCAAACACACGCGCGCAGAATAATCTACCGTAGGGGCCTAGATAATTACCTTGAAAGGAACCCTACACCCCCAAAACCCTGGTCTAATTATTAAGGCCCCTATACTAATCTAAGCGCGGATGATATGAAAAACGTGCTGGTCCTCAGCCGGCTCTTGCGACTGCCCAGACGCCTGCCAGGAGCTGCGAGGGGCTGGGCACGGAAGGCCCTGACACAGGGTTTAGGGTTTAGGGTTTAGGGGTTTAGGGTTTAGGGTTTAGGTTTTAGGGTTTAGGGTTTAGGGTTTAGGGGTTTAGGGGTGGCTCTGCATGTTCAACAAAACTAGCTCTTTCACTCTCACTCTCT